GATAGCATAGGCTGCTTGTCCGTTTGATTTTGTTTTGCTGCTCGAGAGGGGCGTGAATGTTGTTGCTCACCGTCTCGTATTCGGCCGTTTGTTGTCGATTAAGTAAGTAATGGAGCCTAACTCGATTACGCTCCGGGCTCCATTAGGGAACAAGCGTCCAAGACACGACGGTCCGAGAACCGGTAAGTATTTGGGTAGCCGGCCATGGATAGGTGGCATGCAGCAGATGGAGAGGTGGCTGTCGGCTGGGTGACTCAGTAACAGCGTACCTACAATGGAACTCCACTCCATCTCGAGCTCCAGGGAATCTCTTCGTCGAAACGCAGAAATCACGTGACGTCCCCACGTACATATTACTCGTCGGAGCCTGGTCTGGCCCTTCATTGGTTTCAGCTCGCCGCTGCCCAGTGGACATTCCACGCAGCGCCTTTAGTTCACTTTTTCGCTTTACCGGATCGTCGACGTCCTTCTCTATCACTATCACAGCCTTCGGGGCAACGCTCTCAGATCGCAGCCATCCTCTACCCATTGTTAGGGATACGGAATGCGTCTGCGATTCTATGCGTCTAGTGGGAGATAATTGAAAATCTGGTCCGGGTTGTTCCCGGGCTTTTACGCTTCCTCTCATTTTGGCCGTGTTTTGAATTTCGCATAATAAGCGAGCCTCCGGCGCCAGGAGAAGCATGCGGGCTTGCAGGATCAGTGAAAGGATTAATATAAGGATGCTTCGAGGGATTCACAGATTCGGTCCTTTTCTCCGCGAGAGCGATGCGGAACGCATAGCGTGCTATTGCGTCATGGACAGCCCTCGTTCCGTATCCCGAGCAGCGATACGTGGAACATGACCCGCAATTGTTTATTTCAAAACCTGCGATGGTGCGTTATTTCCTTCCTCCATGACCCTCCGGGGACTCTACGGCATTCGCGGTGAAAAGAGAAAAGATCCCCTTTTTCCTCTGACAGAGAGTCGGATGTGCATGTGTCCCGCTGCCTCTCTCACCAGGAAAGTTGGGGTCTTGTCGGCTGCATTCCTCGTTTACGACAACGTCGGCGGAAGGACGTGTTGTCAAGCGTCATTTAGATCCGCTCGAGCAGAAACCATGGTGGCCGCTCAACAAGAGGCTACCGAGCCACGCTTACCGCCGTACTGTCGACAAACTCGCAGCAACAGCGAGCGTGATATCGAAACCGGAAATGGCATGCCAAAAAAATTCCAAGTTTGCCTCAATCACGGTCGCGACTGTCGACAATGGATAAAAGAAGCGATAAAGGCTTCGTCGACGCAAGCTCGACGTCGTAACGTAGATCTGCGCAATGGTCGGAACGACTGTGTAGCTAGAGCTTCCATTCGGTTTTTCGCCGAAGCTGAGAGCAAGCGTGTATCGAGTCAATGTATACACGTACATACTCTGGGAAGGGGGAAGGCGGGGTTGGCCTTCGAACGAGCGCTCCTCAAACTGAGAAATCATCGATATTCGCGGAGGGTCTAATCGTCCACTGGTCAGGAGGATACTTCTCGCCAGAGGTTATCAAATCATCCTCCATTCCTCGAATGCGTGGAAGGCTAGAGAAATGAAGATTACCGCAGAACCCGAAGTGCCCCCAAGGTACCTATCTTATACCACACTATCTCGACTCCTCAAGTTCCGGTGAACTTGCATGAGAACCTTGAGACATTTCCCACCGCCGCTTCAGGTTCAGGAGCGGTCACTAGGCGCAACTCCCCCTGGAGTATTCAGCTGACCGATTGATAGGGGCAAGGTGCAATTATTGAAGTGGCTCCCAGAGAACCTTGCGATAATGATGAGGAGCATCTGCGATAGGAAATGTCAACGGGCTAAGACACGTATGACTTCGAATGTCCGTGAGATGAGCCTGGCTGGCACCGAAAGCGATGGGAATGCTAGTGTCTTCGCCAATACAGTGAAGTCTCGTCACATCGGATCACAACGAGCGAAATCCAATTTTTGTCAGGCTCCCCATAGTAAGGGCGCGCAAGAAACGGCTTCGAAGCGAACTCCGACACACCGAAATTCTCAAAGTAACGAACGAACAAGAGCGATTCCACATGAGAAATCACTCGGTACAACGAATCTCTATGCCATCAGTGTGGCGATGGCATCACCTGCGCAGGTGCACGACGCAGTCGGAGAGCGGCGCGGCGCAGGGAAGATCGAATCAGTCATTTTGAGAGTGCAATCCATTCCCGTCGAGCGTCCTTTGCTGTGTTTCGGAATTCGGTGCGCAATAGCATGAAGATGCGGTGCCGATAACACGATTTCTCTTTCTCCATCTGGGGAATGGAAATACAGAGCAGCGAATACACATGCCGATCGAGCGAGCTCTCACTACAACGAAGAGATTCCACTGGTCTCCACAGACCTTTTGGCGAGGAGATTCCGGTGTTTGGGCAGAACTCTTGTACCTTCGTGTCGATGCAGGAGGGCTGTGGGAACATCGCCGGGATTCAAATACCATCTAGGTAATTCAATTTACAGTATATCTATCTCATGTCGCTCGAAAAAGCACAGAACGCGTATTACGACCAAGGAATTGAGTTGAGGCTATCGAACGAGCCTCAAAACTACACGGTGCTCGGGAAGCCCTCGGTTACTGCTCCAGTCTAGCCCCGAGTTCGAAAATACAGCTGAATTAGGATCCACCACGAGGGAGGAGCTCCCAAAGCAGGCTTGTTCGGAGTAGCCACCCCTTCCGCGAAATTCGAGCAAATGTCGAGCTTTCCCACGAATTTCTAGCAAATTTCGCGTTTGTCCGCGAATTTCTAGCAAATCATGCGGTCATCCGCGCTTTCCCGTAGTTTCACCGTCATTCCGCCCCGATCTGGTTGATTCTCTCGCGCGACGAGCTCCTCAGCGCTAAGTTTAGGTCTCCTTCCCCGGATTGCTGCTCTCGAGTCGACGGGGGTACGGCTTTAGCGGGAAGGAGGACTTCATGGGATTCGCGAAAAGAAATACACTCTCAAGACGGGACTCCTGGGTTAAGGAATTCGGAGATGAATGGACAGCAGTGATGAACGAGATACGGATCGCTCGCGGAAAATTTTCCCCACCATCCTTCCCAGATCAATCGTCAGATCCACGGAATTCCGGGAAGTTGGGATCCGCATGATGGACGGTGATTTCCTGGGGGTGCGCCATATGTGGAAAAGGTGAAGCTCTCTCGCGCCATGCAGTTTCTGCTTCGGATGATGTTCGGGGCAGAACGCTGCCGTGCACCTGAGACATAAGTCATAAATGAGGCGCACGCTAGGTCGAAATCTTCGCTAGACGTTCCTGAGCGCCTAACTGAGCGTATACGACGTTGTGAATCAGTTTGCTCGGTAGGGGTACGGCGGCCACAGGGTAGTGGGTATGGCAGCTATCGCGCTAACTACTACGCCTCGGAGCCGGCAGGGCGGCAACCGGCGCATCCAACAACGCCCAGCAGCCAGGAAGCTCATTGTTGTGCGGCCAGTTACCGAACAGGCGGATGAGCGAAGGAGAAGCGTCCCGCGAGCCAAGTGAAATATGACGCGTGTCAGACATGAAACTTTGAGCATGCTACGGATCCCTCATCAAGATGCCGCCTCGGAAGCTGCCGAGACCGGCTGAATGACTGACCGCCTGAATAAGAAAAATAGGATAACGGCAGAGAGAAGCGCGGACAGCCTTGTCGGGGCAGCTCGCACGGGCAGATGAACAGACTCGGCTCGCTTCTCCATTGAACCGGCAGTGTTGCAATGGGTTAAATGAGTCGTACGCTAAGTTGCGGGTACGGCGCTGCTTCGACGTAAAAAGTTGTGGTCACCACTACCACCACTCACCAACTCTGGCACGCAAGAACGCTTCAATAGAAAACGGACCGAGTCACCCGCTCGTTCGTCAGTAGCGGCCTCGCTTGCTCACCCGGGATTTTTATGCGGTCAAAACTGAACGACTGACTCGCCGCCCCGGGCTCATAGTCATATGGCGGATTGAAGACCGAAATGCCAAGCATCATTCATGCCTCCCAGCTCCTCGCACGCCTCCAACTCCGCGATAAATTCATGCAATCATTCCTTGCGGCCGCAGCTTACACACTCCCACTAATCACGAACCGAACAGTCTAAGTGTAGAGGGCAATTGCGAGGTCCGGCAGAGACTTCAAGAAACATGAACTCCGTCGTGCATGTTGGATCACACATTTTCAAGGAGGTATTCTTCCAATGACTCTCCTGACGAGTTTCTCCCGGAACTGAAGCGCTAGCGACTCGGAAATCTTAGATCAAATATCTCTGGAAGTCACCGTCGACATAGACGAACGCCGAGCGTGTATTGCTTTTGGTGCGCTGTACGTAGGTACGTGCATGCATGCATTTCCGACCCAAAATAATTCGATCGGGAGGTCACTATGCTAGGAGGGGGTTTACCCGTTCTGTCTTTGAATCTGTCCCCCTTTGAGGGACATCATCAGCTTTTCCGACGAGATTTCCGTCGGGGAGTTCGGTGTTGGCTGCCGAGAAAGTGATTGCATCCACCACCGGAGTCCACCGTCCACCTGAGCACAACCCAAGACAGAACAACTCCGGTGATACCCCCGGCGACACATTTAGACCGACGACACATTTAGGCTTTCGCAGAGTAGAAGATCCGGAGGCTACGAGAAAGTGTGGAGCTGACAATCGATAGATACGCACATCCATTATCCAAGACCCCCGCTCGGCGGAACACGCTACTGAGCTCCAGAGGCTTAGTTTATGTCTCTACCCCGGTAGCGCTCCGGCACTCCTCTGATTCTCAATTGGAGCTTGTCTTCACCAGCGGAATTCGGGCTTCGACGTCGTATGAGGAAAGGCGCTGAACAAAGCAATCAAGCCGTTGTGACAAGACTCCACAGAGCGATTCCACCGCTCAAGTTTTCACGGGAGGCGTACAGGAGGACATACGATCCGAGGAATCGAGTTTTTCACGTTCCGAGGGAAATGTATGGTATCGGATGACGTTCGGAATAAATACTTTATTCTAGAAATTATCGTTCAGCCATCTCAGCTGTTTCGTTACTCTAGTGTAGGCCCCGGGGTATCCTGGTGTGGCGCACCGCTTGCCGAAGGAGACGACGCCCATCAGGTAGAAACGATTATCCTCGCCCCAGAGTATCAGCGGACCACCAGAATCTCCCTGTGAAGAGAAGACTGAGTATGTCGTTGCGGTGACGGGGACCGGGTCGTCAGGTTCGAACCGTTAGCTGATCTATCGCCAAATTTTCAGTCTAGAAGTCCCAAGGCCACTGACCTGACAGGAGTCCGTCTTCCCAGCCGGATCACCGGCGCAGAGATATCTGTCCGTGACGTTGAGCTCTGCTTTGAAAGCTTTTGCGCACTCCTCTAGCGACCACACGGGAATATCTGTGTCTTTCAAAACCGGGTTGCTCGAGCCGCCCTCTGTTTGGAGATTCGGATTCAGAAAAATTATCGGGAAAATGCCCCGCAAGAGCGAGCAGAGCCCACTAGAGAGATACTCACGGTAAGCTGTGTAACCCCAGCCAGCTACTATCGCTCTGGCGGACGTGAGATCCTGTTGGAATCCAGTGTACGGTAGGCAAACCGGCTGTATCGTTTTCGTGAATTGGACATCCTGAGCAAGGTAACTGAGCGAGATGTCGTTCAAATATGTTTTTCGCACGTATTCAGGATGAGTCTTATAGCTCAGGATGGGGAGCTCGAGCGTGCCCTGTATTTCATCGTCCCTTGTGATGTCGTGATCTCCAATTCTCATCCGGTAGATCTGGTACGGGATTCTGAAATGTGACGCCATTCACTGTTGCCGTCTCTACCGTATCTAAACCGAGATAAAAATTAACCCGCTTTGATCACAACATTCTCTTTTTCACACTTACGGGCGAGAGCCATCGAAGAAGCAGTGAGCGGCCGACACAATGTGCCGAGGAGACACTAGGGCTGCTCCGCATATGTGGAGTTTTTGGTTATTGAGAAGGACGAATACGGCCACCTGAAATGTGTCCCCCGCTCATGTTATCCCCAAGCATACGATGAAGGACACCATGTCGCTCCACAATCACGATCCACCCAATCCACCATCAAAAATGAACGATCTCAATGCTCCGAGTCGTAGTCTCGGAATTCGTATAACCTAGAGGGAAAAATATTATCTTCATCGAAGTAGATACGACTGTAATGCACTCACGATCCACGGATAGGCACCCTTAGCTGCTTCCTGCCCACCGACTATACGATTCGCTTGTAGAGCACCGATCCCACACTCTGCCGGCAAGAAATCGGGTCTCGGTGGACGGTCATCAACCGGTTGAGGCTGGGGAGATGGCTGAGGCTCCGGGACCGGTCGGGGTGCGGGCTGCGGATCGGGGTAAGGCGCCGGTCGCGAAGTGGGTCTCGGTCCCGGCTGAGGCTGCGGCCGAGGATCGGGATGCGGCTGTGGCCGAGGATCCGGATAAGGTTGCGGCCCTTGACTCGGTTGAGGCCGCTCAAGTCCCTCACAACATAAGAGCGGCGTAGAACCCTTGGAGGAGCGGAAAACTTGAGAAGACAGGCCTGGTGATATCCATGACACCAGGGGCTTAGGCGGGCGGCGGGGCGAAGGAGCTATAGCTCCCTCCTAGATGGTCCCTTCGTAATGCTGTAGTATCGGAGCGAATCGCCATGCGGAGACCCGATCTCGCCCCCCCCCCTCCCTAAACGAAAAATCCCGCCCACGCCACTGCATGACACTGAACAGCCAAGATACATCCGGACAGAGCACGCAAACGAACCTGATAACTGCATATGAACTTGTTAAGGTGACGGAGGTTGACTCTCCTGAGTGCGGGGCAGAATTTGAGTTCGACACAAACCCCGCTCGCATCGCTCGGAGCTGTACAAACATCCGGATCGTGTTCAGGGAATAGGATTGGACCTGTAGGAAGTTCGATTCCGTGAGAGATTCTCCCCTTCTTCTCAGAACTCTCCTGAACGGCAACTCAATAGGTAAGTCGTAAATCGCCTGAATTGGAAACAGAAGTTTCTCGAAACGTGGGGTCCGGGCGCTAGTTTCCGCCGCTCGACACCCTTCCTTCAGTGGGAGCTGGAACTCAAGGTGCCAGACAAAGCCGCCGGTGAGCAGAACGGACAAAGCAGGAATCGTAGCAACGTCGAAGGTTATCATTGGCGCCAGCCAACGACATGATTGACTTCCTCACTTCACAACAATGACGTCAAATTCTGTAAGATTCTTCTCGGTCACCCGCCACAGAAGAGCACATTCGATCCGCGAGGCGATCCATCTCACCTTCTAATGAGAATCTTTCGTCGAGATCCTGAGAAGAAATGTTGGCAGGAGGATTGCCAGAAGACTCGTCGCCACTCGATGTTGCGCATTCTGACAGATGAAGGACGGATACGAATATTGCGATTGTGCGCAATCCTAAAAGGGGCATCCTGCTCTTTTTCATCAAACGTTGTCAACACACGGTGAAAGCAGTCGAAGCTGCTGTATGTTGAGCGCATCCTCCTCGCGACGGAGAGGGTTTCCGTGATAAAATGCTGAAAATATGACTTCTCCTATGAAGTGTCGGAATTGATAGATGCCGCTGCTGGTCGCCTCAGCTTGAGAGAGCTGAACGGGAACCACCGGAGTTGTGATTTACCGATCAGAAGGCGCTTGGCGTTGTCTGCGGTGCGCCTCTTCCTTCAGAGTTTCTGTAGTGAGAATGCTCTGACGGTTCTCGGACTTTGAGACGGCTCTCTTCACCCAGACAGCAGATACGGTTGAGGAGGCTAAGGAGGAACACATTGGGAGCTGGCTATTCTGATCCGAATAAGCAGAGTATCCGATCATCCGGATTCCGAATCAATGGAGCCCCAATGACCGGGACTCTTCGGAAGCGGGCCGATCAGGCGGAGGATCCCATCAATCGGTGTTCCTAATAAAAAGAAGTTCACTCTTTTTCGAAACCGGACGAGACTGAACAGATCGGTTTGAATAAGCCTAGCCGCCTCTCCCTTACGAGGCCTCTTCAAAAAGCTCACTCCATATCTGATGTCTCGCTGTGGGTTCTAAAAACGTTCTTATATGTGAAATGCGCTCTCCGTGGAGTGAAGACTGCCGCTTGGCTATCTTCACCGATAGGGGGGCATAGCAGGTTGGGAGCCCCGCCTTAATGTTCGACGCTACACACAGGTACCTATGGTTTCATATCAGATACCCTATATTATATCATTTTCCAGGAATTTTCCGATACTGAGGAGTTTCCGGAGGAGGAAGAGGTTCACAGAAACCAGCGTGGGAGTTCGTTCGGATAACACAGAACAATACTTTATTATCAAGTTCTTACAATAACAAGAATCGAACGATACGTTTGTGATGTTCACCGGTCAGGTAGAATAATGACACAGAAAATTACACGGACAGCTGACGCTCAATATTTACAAAAGCTCCTGCTTTCTTCCACAGGGCGCCTCACAGAAGGCCCTCAAACGCAGACATCTCTGGTCGCAGTCGATGTTTTCAACTAGAATCATTTCAATCATACGTCGCGTTTCTCCTCGCCCAGGACTTTTCGTACACGCAATCACTTACTCGACTTTCCGATTTCCGACGGCTCAAATGAGTACTCTGTCCCCTCTCATCGCATCCGGGTGGATCTATGAACGTGATATGCCCCCGCGGAGTGTAAGAGCTTCCGAGCTCCCTTGTCACTACGAGCGCTCGGAGTCTCCACACGAAGAGCGCTCATCAGATCTCCCGGCGTCGAAGACGAGAACGAGACGCCGAGCAGGCACGGAACATGAATTGTATGGGGCGAGTATAAATTATCCGTTCTCAAACTATGGCGACTCACAGCGAGGCGATCCAGAGTGGCGGAAATTTCCAGCGGCCAATTTCCGACTCCTCGCTCCGACCTAATTCCGGAATCTTTTCACTCAATTAATACCATTTACCGGCGTTTTCCCGAGTCACGACCCCTTGTACCCTCTGGTTTTCGTGTTGATGATGATGCTGCTGATGGTGTTGACCATTGGGCGGGTGCTCATGTCGGTGTTCTTCAATGTGGTTTCCGCGATGATGGTAGCGTTCGCTGGTGGCGTAGGCTGGACCTCCTGAAACGAATAGACCCGGTCGAAAAGTGATTCCGTGAAGGGCTCGCGGAAAATATCTGACAAGAGCATAATGCATAAATTTGCCCCGGAATTACCGTTGCTCGATTCTGGCTGCTGCTTCCATGGACCGTTCGATGCTTGGATGAAGCTTGGTGTGATTGCCTTCCACTGACCGTGTTCCATGCTCGGAGGCTGCCACCTAAGACGAGATTCGGTATTGACAATCGTAGGGTTGTTTCGCTAGAAAACTCCGAGTCATCCCGACCCACATTCTGAGCTACACTGTGATATGTAGTGATGAGTGTGACTATCCGGGAAAATGAAAGGAGCAACTCACTCTTGGGACGCTTGCTGTCTACGAGCCTCCTGTCGCTCCTCCCGGTAGAGCGGTTGTTGGTGTTGGGCGGTCTTCACGGAGTTGAATGGGAGATAAACAACTTTGACGTTCGCTCTGGGGGGGAGTCTCACCGGTGGAGCTTGCGCGGGGGGTCCCTGATAGCTCTCGGCCTGGCCTGGGAATCCGCGAGGACCATCGGGGTGGCTCTGATGGAAGTGCGGCCGATTCTGCTCCTGGTGTTGAACTTGTTGCGGAATGTGCTGGACAATGTGTGGCGGGGCTGAAATCTCTGAAAGTGTCGACAAGGTTTCCGGGACTTTTTCTCATGAATCTTATTGTAGCTGATAATTCATTCCCTTGCAAAGCGCGTGAGCCGCTCCATGGCTCTTTCATCACGTTTACCCTGTGCCTGTTCCTGTGACTGATGGGATTCTTGATGAAGACGATGATGTTGCTCCTGTTGTTGTTGCTGCTGTTGGTGGTGATGATGCTGCTGCTGCTGTTGCTGCGGTTGTTGTTGCTGCTGATGTTGGAGCCACGGTGCGGGACCACCTCTTTGATAAGCGGCGAGTTGTTCAGCAGTGACTCGGATCACTTTCCATCCGGGAGGGATGTTCGAGATCGGACTCTCTGCGGGTTGAACTCGAACCACAGGTTGGGGCGCCTGGAAGATATACGAGGGAAAACTCGCAGATAATGTTCATAAGCGTTCCGGTTGGGAGGGTCCTGATAGGTGTCCCGAGGTTTCCCGACAGCGCTTCGCTCACCTGTTGTTGAACATGCTGACTGTGGATTTGCTGTTGAGGGAAATGAACTCGTTCCTGAGGATGGTGCTGCTCCTGTTGAACGTGTTGAGCTTGCTGCAAATGCTGAGGGGGACCTTGCACGTGCTGCTGTGCTTCCTGTTGATGTTGGTGCGACTGATGTTGGTGCGACTGATGTTGGTGCTGAGGTACCGATTGAACTTGTTGCTCGGCTTGTTTCTGCTCTTCATCATCTTGGAGTTGGAATTGAGGTGTGTTATCCTGAAGGGGATGGAACATGATATAGACGGTATCTCGACATCGAAACCCTGCCACGTGTCGAGCGACGATCTTGCGAGCCTTGATACGTTCATCTGACTTCACGCTGGAGTTCTAGAGTAGCTCGTATCATGAGCTCATGGGGTCCGTAGAACCCTCGAAGAGGTATTGGGTCACGTAAACTGTGCCGGAATCATTCTTGCGAGGCTAGCTCCCCCGCGAGAAGTTGGGTATGTTACCCGGAACGACAACCCGTTGCTCGGTATGAGCGCATTGTGTAGAATTATTCAAGACTTCCGACCGGGGTTCTCAGGCCGAAGCTCCACTATCATCGAAGCGCGGCGCTAACGGTTCCGGATCCACCGAAAATATCACGTATGTAGTGATCGACATCGCGAATCCGTGTATATTTTAAGGAACCATCGCTCTTCCCGACGTCTAGTACGACGTGACTGAGCTAGAATATCAGCACAACAAACAAACAAACACATGAAAAGACACGTTGCCATAATCAACATCGCTCGCTACGACGTTGACCTGGGTGACCCTCTGCATTCTTGGATTTCACTGATTGCAACGTTTTTTCGTGTTAGTTCATGATTCGTCGCTTAGACAATGATGAGCGCAACCATTATTGCGTCCGTCGGTCGAATGCTCGCTCACCAGCTCACTCGGGAAATCCATAGATAGACGGATTGAGATATGGGGAGCTGGCCGCCCGCATATTACATCATGGCCGGAGTCATATATGTCCCCTGCCTGAATTTCGCGCCGATGACATTTCGGTACGGTTTCGTACATGGTTTCGGTAGAATCGAGTTACGGCAAGCTCATTCGAACTATCATTCTTTGTCCCCGAAAGAATGGGAGGCAGTTCCCCCAACGCGGTGAAAACTTTCAGAATCATCGATGATTGACGACCTTTCTGACCATCCATCAGAATGAGGAGCCGACCACGATCAGAATCACGTCTGCTTGACCGGTATGACACGATTTCCCATTCAGCCACCGAGAATAAAAAGTTCCCGAACCTTCGATCAAGGGAGTCCTACATCGAGCCGAATATTCCACTGTGACGTAAATGCTAAGTCCCGTGAAGCGGCACTCACAGGCTTCTCAGATCGTTGAAAGCCGTTCACTCCGCCATCTGCTTGTATTCGTGCGCATGTGTAATTTGGAAGCGCTACTGATATAATACGGAATTGTGCCATCTTCAGGATGAGCCAACGAGACGAATTTTCGATGCCTTATTGACTTCGATGGTTTCGACGGCGAGCAGCATCGAAAAGCCAATCCAATCCGCATTGTGTGTATCGTTGATTTCACGCTCGCTGCTCTTTTTTTCTGCATTCAATAACAAAGACTCGCAGGACTCTCTGAGCAGAGCTACAGAGACTTTGTCACACGATTTGGGAGCGTTTCATCTGGAGCGGCGGCTTGGCGATTCCATCCAAAAGTTTTTCGTGACTCAAGATGTTCATCGCCAAAAGTATGGCATTATTGCCACACGGAAAGTGCAAACCACCAGGCCCTCGTCTGGGATTATAGTGGTAGTGGTCGCCTGCCGCCGGTGCCGCTTTCAGGGGACAGAACGAAGAATGCCTCTAGTTCAGTCCCCCACTTGTTCCCATTCTACTGCTCTATGAGGCAATAAATCCCGCGTCAAAATCCCCGTATTCCACTATCGGCTCTGGTCCGAAGTTCTCATCCGCCGTTGACACAAAGCGGCAAGGAAATACCAGAGGGGCCGCAGCAGCAATGACTCGAGAAAGTCTTCCGAGTAGTCGACCTGGATGCCAATCTCAAATCTGTGCAAAAGGTCAAGAACGGTCGTCGGGAGCAGAACAACCCGCTCTTAATTGCAGGCAGAGCCTATCCCTATCTGCCTCGTCGTCAGATGAATGCCCGCTCGTTTCACTTTCTCTATGATGGGACCGGCGGAAATCTGGTGACTCATCATGCTCGCCCAATGTTCTCGGCTTTGCCATCACGAGAGCGTTCTCATGATCCAGAACAGATACTCCGTCCAAAATACGACAATGTCCTGAATGTATCCGATCCGTGTCGGGAATAATGGACACCTCGGAGCGTCATGGCTCCAGGTGTCTCAGGGGTTTCCGGAAAAATCCCGAAATTCCTTTTCAGGATACCTCCAGGAAACAGCGGACTTCCGGAGTCGGACTGGTGTGAAGAAGGTCAGAGCGAATTTGCATGGGATAGACGGACCGCTGTGAGCCTTCGGCGATCCGTCGATCAGAAGAAGTCTCCCCTTTATGGGTTCAAACCCAATCTCAAAATGTGCGTGAGACTCCATTGTTGGGGAAAATTTATGCATTGAAGCAGAGGAGACCGAAAGAAATTCTCAGACTCACGGACATTAATACGGATCTAAAGGCTGCTCTTCCGTTGTGAGGAGAAGAATGCGGACAGGAACTCGATATATGAGCCGTAAATAACTCGAGCCGACGCCTGATTACATCCCGGTGTTTCGGCCATAGACGGGAATATCTCGCCCATTCTCAATGGACGACCATTGCCGCGCTTGACAATCACAAGGCAACGATATTCTTGCGCTGAGAATGAGGTTGTAGTACGATACCGCTCGTCGAATCCTCTGGCAGTTTCCAGCTCTTCGAGCGCGAATGAATGGAGCCAGTTTTTCCATCCCCCTTTTGCTTCCTGCCCCGGCTATCCCTACGATCCGTCGTGTGCACTGCCCTGACAATGGCTTGCTTGTTAGATTGATCAATTGTTTAAACAGGATGAGACTTTTTCATGAGGACAACAGAGTCGAAAGAACGCGATATGTGCGTGATTCGATCCCGCAGTCAAGAGAAATCGTCGCGCCTTTGGAGCGATTCGCGAATCACGTTTACCGACTTAATAGATTCGACTCGTCCGGATGCGGAATCCGATGATAGATGCGGCTTCAGCCAATGATTTGAACACGGAGTCAAGAGACTCTTTGAGAAGTAGATACCTAGCAGCGAAGTCGTACGGAGCGGTAATTAAGGTAGGGATATGTGATTGCACGGATCCGACGATTATCAGTACAGAGGGGCTGGTGGGCATCGCCGGATGCAACACCGGACGGTCAGAGGTCAGCGGGACTCACGTTGATGACTAGCTGACGGTTGAGCGGTTTGATTGACTGACCAAGCGAACCTGTGCGCGCGCGCGCGTGTTGCTCCCAGGGACCTACCGATCGGGTCGTTCTCGGAGCCATCCATCGATGTCCGATGTGCGCTCAATGCGGAACAAATGGCACCCGCTGTTATCGTGTCCGAGACGAAGATACCCGGCTTCGTAGGGAAAACAGCGCCGACGGTGGCGGCGTCGACAACGGCGGCGGCAGCGGTACAATCATGGATGGATTCCATAGAAATCCTCCGTCAATAGAGCTATTTTGTGGTCACTTAGAGCAGGCGGCAGCCAGCGACGTCCAGCACATTCACAAAATTAACAACAGCGACGGGAAGAAAAAAACTCATCGTCGATAACGGCTTGTTGTTGTCTCCGATCCGAATGACTGCTCCTCGGCGTTGTTCGTTCTCGACTTTTTGGGAGATATGAAAGACAGTAGGGAGTGACTCGTGAAGCCAGAGGTCAGATAGGGAACGTTTGGCAGTTGCTGGCTCGCTTGGTCAGTCAATCCATCCGTCTTCTTATACATCACCTAAGTTGTTACAAAAATCACATTTCATTCTCTTTTCTTCCGCTGAATTTTGCGCTCCCGGGGCATTGAGTCCGTCGCCGCAATCGACAACGTTTCCGGAGTTGATAAGTTCACCGGTTGTGATGGCTCATCCCTGATGAGCTTTCTAAATCAATGGATTATTTGGGTAGATAGGATCCGGGATTTTCGATCGCTCTCTCACGGACAGCACCCCGATCGGGTGACTCATGCGATGGATGAGTTTTCAGGGGCGAATTTCGGGATATCGAGCTAGCGAGAGTGAGGTCGAGGCCTTGTGAGAATCATTCTCTCCTTCAGAACAAGATTCGGAAGGGAACTGATGCCAGAATCACTTCAGCGATCAGCCCGCCGGGTCGGTATAAATGATCGAAACCGTCATCGACGTTACAGTGTATCGACTCGATTCGATACACATGCGTCATCTCGGTGGTCGATCCGTCACTCGCGAACTAGCGTCGATTGAATCAACGAAATAGCTAGCGCGGGCAATCCAACACGTCTGCGAAAGAGCCAGGCGTCGGCCGCCGCGATGTCGGGCTGCGTGACAGTACGACGACGGCGGCGTTGTTGGTAACAATTTACGGTGGCGACTATTGCGGCGACAATGAGCTGCGCAACATTGGTTTATCAAACAAAACGTTCACTTGGTAGGGGATGTCGAGCCGCTCGAGTGGCATTTTCACTCCGTACCGTGAGCGAGAGGATTGCTGAGGGCAACTCACCTTGAGGAATTGCTGGATTGCAGCTGGAAGTCCACCGGGAATGTTGATGCCTCCTTCAGCCGCGGGAACGGAACTGCTCTGGGGCTCAGATTGTTGTTGCACGACTTGTTTAATTTGGTCGTGACCGGTACCCACGGGAACCTCGATAGTCTTCTGACCGTTTTGACCGATGAGTTGAACTTCTTCAGAAACGTGGGCGAAACGGAAGGGTCCATGCTGGAAGGTTTGCGCGTGCTGAGGAATCTCGAGTTTGTTGTTCGGAAGCTCGGATACGGCAGCATCTTGTGGACCAGGAGCGTGACCAGACGGGGAAGCGATGTTCTGGGCGAATTGAGAGGAAATATGAACAGGACCGTTGCCGAGTCCGGGAATGTCGATCGGTTTTCCCGAAGCTATCGACTTGAACTGATTGGCATCGATCTGGATCGCTTGCCATCCGGGAGGAAGTCGCAGATTGCTTAGACCGGGAGCTCCGAGGATTTGTGGTCCCCGACTGATGGGAGCTTCGATAGGAAGTCCAGGTGGTCCCCGATGAACCTGAGCCCTCGCGAATAGATTTTCCAAGGGAATGTTGGCTCCGTGGAAAGATCGCGGTCCGCGCTGTCCGGGTCCTGCGCCTGAAACGTATCCTGATATTTATCGCATTCGATACTTATCGTATACGCGTGTCTGAGCTCCCGGACTGCGGTCTTTGGATGGAAAAAAAACAGTCACACGGTACTGTTTCGTTCATTTGCGGAATGCTTTACCTAAAGAGTTACGTGAACACATTTCTTTGTATGCGGGGTACAAGCCTGACGGCTGTTAGCAAACCGCCTGCTCACAATGGCACTTGTTGATTCACAAAACGCCCTGGTCACTGTGACGGACGCTACCGTTCGCTACACAAAAGCTCTTTTATGGACAGCATGTCTGTGAGAGAATCTTCACCACTAGGTTTTCGAACAAAGCTGACATTTCGAAAATAACACGACCGGGTCCTAGTCGTCCGGAGCATCTTTCGTGGGCGGTCCGGAGGGGTCATTCCACAGCCAGAAGCGGAAAACGTCTGATGACTGCGTTTCAGGTTTAAGCATCATCACCATTCCGGTCCTTCGGGGAACTTCAATTTCTAGCGTTTCCGTTCGTCAGATAGACCCGACGAACTGCTGTGGACTTTCCTTAAAGGCTCTGCTTAGCTACGAATTTCCTCTAAGTGCTGGAAGGCTCAACCCTTCTAAATGGGATCGAGGAGTTGAAGGCACACTTTTTCCCACTGACGAGTTTCCCATACCCTAAAATCCCGCTTACAAGGAACCCTGTTAATCGCAAAATCGAGCCGCGTATAGGGAACCTTCCGCATAAGGAACCTCACGTATAGGGAACTTTCCGTATAAGGCACCTTCCACAGATTCGATTCTCCATCTCGAATACTCCATTTGCCTTGATCAATGAAGATACCTCGGTTTATCCGGAATGATATTGAAGAATATGATATTCCGCCCACTCAAGGTTGGCTGTGCGCGAAAATCCCTCCATGACAAGTTCTTTTTACGTGAGCTTCCTTATGTGGAAGGTTCCTTATACGCGAGGATTCTTATGTGGAAGGTTCCTCACACGCGAGGATCCTCATGTGGAAGGTTCCTTATGGGCGAGGTTGCTAATACGGAAGGTTCCCTTTACGAGTGGTTCCTTGTAAGTGGGATTCTAGGGTAATTCCAAATCGCCCTTCCTCTGCTTGTACCTAATCAGCGCTATCGGAACATTGGCATCCGCTGCCGGTCCGCAGGTCCTTCCTCGAAATAGTGACTCTAAATCTTATAGAGTGTCACTCTTCAATTCCTCCCCGATCGTCGCCTGAGAACTGTCCCCGCCGCTTTCAGCGCGGAAGGTGGGCGTCGCGACTCCAACTTTCGTCGTGAAAGCGTTTAATGGTGTAGGAACTAACACATATTATAGCAGCATAGATTCGGCTCAGCGGTCGTTGCGTAAGGGCGAAAAGAGCTCTAATCGTCCATTATAGGGTGACGGGTGAGGGGCCAACAGATGCCGAGCCTGATAGATAGAAAGACAGACAGACAGACATGAGCAAATCTTGACGAATGCCGGCCGCCCGACCGCCGTGAATCCACTGAGTGATCGACCGTCCGACCGTATAGAGTTATGAAAACAGTCATCTGCGATGACTTACGATTATCTTCCACGGAGCGTCTCAAAGCTGCGAGCCCCATTCTCGACGTGCATAACGATTTCGCAACAAGGCACCCAAGAAAGCTTTCTTCGCAGAGAATTTTATGGTCGACCTTCAGAATTGAAAACATTCCGAACGATCTGGTTTCACTTCGAGAAATAATGATTCCAAGACCCCTCGGCGACCGACTGATGTAGGTGACGGACTCGGACAGCAAAAGCAGAAGCTGCTTGCTGTGAATCGAGAAATTAGCGCATTGACGGTAGTCATTGGGCGGTCGGACATGAAATACCCATTTTTACAGCACGGGGCTGGTACTCGTATATGGATTCCCAACTCTCTCTCTTGGAAATCTTATCCCCGACGTAGCGAGGAATCAGTTCCCGGAATCTTCGAATCTCTCCTCTCTTCCTCGGACGGACCCTTCATTGTTGAAGCCAGTACAGTTCCTCGTCTTTTCAGGACTTCTTTCGGTACCAATCGTCAATCAATAATACCGATTGCAAAGAGAACCGTTCCTATCACGGTAGGCGGGATCTCGCGACCGGTGTTGACCGCTGATGGTGTTGAAATGCCCTGTCATCCGAACGCGTAAATTTGCATATAAATACTACATTGTTAAAATGCTTCCGACTTATTTGTTTGAAGAAACTTCGGCCGGCTGGCCCGCCCGCTCGTCTTCAGCGGGGACGGAGAATCGGTGAACAGAGCCGAAAATCAACGTTCGAAAGCGACTCTCTCGCACGGTGAAGTTCGTGAAGTTCTCGGCTCTGTAGTTTTTGGACGTGAGACCCCCGCCGATTTATTCACGACATTTAGCTCCGGCGGCGACGAAATGGACCCAGAGAGAAATTTCGGAGTAGATTCGAGAAGCGGGATTCTTTTTAAGAGGTGAAAGTATTTCTACTTGAGAGCTGAGTCACGTTCGTGGTCCGGGGAAGATCAAGGAAGAATTTGGATCGCGTCGTGATGTCATTCAATTCGGAGAAGTTGACTTCTAGGAGTTAGTAATCGTGTCTTTCTCAACAAGTCCGTGAAGTCTGGGTTATTTGAATGAACGTCCACGAGTCTCCGTATCTAGAACTGCCAACTCAGGAACTCACCTAGTATCTGGACTTGTTGGAAATTCGGTCCTCCTCGCGGAGGCCCTCCGTGAATACTCTGGAAGATCGGTCGTCTATCCGAGGGTCCCGTAGCTAGACCGAGTTTCGACAATTCGCTCAAAGACACCGATCTCAATTCCCAGCCCTGTGTTCCACCTTGACGGATCTCTGACATGGCGAGCTTTGGAGCAAACAGCGCCACTAAGAGCGCTGAAGCACAGAACTGGAAGTCAAAAGAGTTACATAAGCTGGGGGTCGATGTGGTTCATTCCACAACTTTTCTAAGACGTATCGACATCACCCGGACTGTTCTGTTTCGACATCTGGATCTGCGGAATATTCTATCTCGTTCGTAGACTAAGAGGAATGGTGCTCTGCAATACTAAGCGCCGGCATCCTGGTCGACCTCCCCCTCCTCTCGTACCTAACCATAGCGAAGCGAATTCTCGAAAATGCACCATCAGATTCACCATCGGATTAAGGAGCTTTTATGCTGAACGTATCGTAATGAAACATTCCGACCTCCGACTCTCGTGACGATAGGCGCTCGCGAGCAAATAGTTTGTGGCGTCAAACTGGTGACAGCGGTGATCAAGAGCTGCTGGAGAGATGAGCAACCCAGAGGGGCGAGGTAATTGCGCGGAAAAACGCGGGCGATGAGAGTGGAATTATTCAGCTGGGAGTCATTTTCCATGCTTCAGTGTCTCGGGATTCCCCACAAGCCTGTCTCTACTCTGAGCTCAAGTGCTTACGAAAGAGAGGACGGAGATTATTTTTGTCGCTCCCACACGGATTTTGGAACTCTGGGCTCTTGGTCAGCTTGTTCACACTCAACCTTGGAAACTCACCGAACGCATCGTTATCCGCGCGCGTATATCGCTGGCTCAATGTGCAGACTGACGGAGAGACAATATTAGAAGTTTCCTCGTTGGCGTATATGCGAGTGGGTGAGCGGCGGCTTTATCCTTTGGACACAGGACGAAAAGGACGGCGAACACACAAACTGGAACGACACGACTAAACACGAGCACGCAAGCACACGAGCACCAGGTACACGGACGGCACCTCGCAGCGAATGGACGAGAATCGAATGTTTCCTTTTTGAAACCACTTTAAGACTTCATCACACCGGGTTCACTTTCTGCCGAAAACCCTTTCCCCGGGAGGGTGAAAGTTTGAGATAAAGAATACGAGAGGAGCTCGCCGGTCCGCCGGCTGACCATCCCACCGTCTAGCCGGCAGAAGACCGTGGAAAAGTGAGCGATCTTAGCCGACGAGAAAGTGCGGTGGGCGGCTCCACCGAGCCACAGAACGAGGCGGCGACGGGACATCACCGCCGACTACGCGCGATAGGCTGACCTTTCGAATACTTCTGGATTGGGACGATAATTCTCATTCCCAATCTCTTCGTTCACGACCGGTGTTCTGGTACGGACGATAGAAACTTCCGTAGTCAAACTGCCCGATTCCTCAGCCCCAGCCCCCGCCCCCATTCGTGCAAAACGATGGGTGCGGAACCTCCTACACTGACAAGAGGACCGACAGGATATGGAGGAATTGAAAATCCAGGTGATTCGCCGTACCGCAAAAAGCGGTCCCGATGGAACCCTTTGAAAAAGCATGCAGGGATCAGGGACCTATTAGCGAGCGCGATTCAGAAGGAATGTCCATCCCCTCATTCAAAGGGTTTAGATACCCTCTGCAATGTTCCGAGTCGTTCGAAACTTCTGGTCAAGCGAACCATTCAGATGTCATTCGGAAGATAGGGGCTAAAACTATTAACGTGAAAACTTTTCGAATATTTGAAAGGGAAGAAGAGGACTCAGACTAGGTTGTCGATTCTTCTAGAGTAGTTACGTTCTTAGGTGAATGAATATTTGTTTCCCCTTCTGTATTCCGACGGGTAAGCCCAAGGCGAAAGATTAGGCTAGCACCATTGATAAGAAGGTTTTGTCCGGCATCGCCACAGAAGAGACTGATGCCAGGAGCACTCTTCTATTCCCGACGGCAATAAAATGAAGGTTTTAACTAAGTGGGCTCACCTAGCCAGAAGATCATAATATCAATAGGGACTACTTAGCTAGTCTTTTTTCCCGAATGGTGGGCATGCTGATGATTTTCCTGCTTCTTGCCCGGGGTTAGATCTGCGTTTGGGACTCCGCTCTAAAGGCGTACGACAGACCCTTCAACATCTCTAAACTAGCATTTTTATTGAGCTCATTCATTTAAGCCCGCTCATGTCGAGGTAACATTTGCCCCACCTAAGAAATTTCCACCCAGCCGAACAGTAAATAAATGCATAAGGAGGAAGTTGTGGGACCCGGATACGATGCTGCTGGTCAAAGTTGGACGACGACGTCGACGAGGGATAGATTGAATCCAAGAAGCGAAAAAGGCATCGTTTTGCAGACTGATGTCAGAAGGGTCATGATGCCATCTCATTTTGATTTCGCGGAGGCACTGACAAGGTTCATCAAGGAGCGTTGAAATCGCTCGAATGGAACCCAGAGGAGCAAAACTCGCTGTCCCGGTTCTGACGACGGAGGCCTATAAATTCCGTCGGGGCTCGGCGACCTTTCTGGAGTCAACCGCTGCTGTGTGACTGTGATTTGTCGATCACTGTCTTTTGTGATACTGCAAGGGAGGAAACAAGATTGGGATCGGAATTGATGATACTGCATATCAAGAGGCCATTAAAGCTACGCGGGTCATCGCTCGAACACAAAACGATGATCCCGAGATTAGAAGGGTCATGTGACGCGAGCAATTCTCCGAGTGATAACGATTTCCGTAGTGAGAGAAGCAATTGAATAAATCACCGAGATCAATAATGCTAGCGTGGCTTCAATCTGTCTACCGTGAGAAAGACAGTGACCAGAATCTAGTTCGCTTGAATGCGTTTCCATCGCTGCTAGCCACAGTACTATCGCAACTACCGACGAACTATGAAACCATTGTGACAGACCGCGAATTTCCACATCTATATATATCATACACAGAGTGGCCCGCGGCTTATCCTCTGCCGGCCAAATATCAAAAGCGAGTCTTCCGAAGTTCGACGATCGAGCTGCTGGTGGACGAGTGGACTTCTTTCCGATTGGAGGGGTGTCTAACGAGGCTTCAGGGGTTTGCGGGTTGGCTTTTTGAGGAATTATTTAGAGATGAATTGATGAAGTATACGCGGTACCAGATGCTTCGTCTCCCTCGCAGCTCCCTTGTCTCAGAAGGTTTGGTCCTGGTTCCCAGATTCTGTAGGCTGAGATGCGGCCTCGCGAACTTGGACAAATATGATGACCTAATTGGCCGCTCCTGACCCCAACTCCGCTCAAGAATGTTCTCATATATGGCGTGACACGTTCCTTCAGTTTTTTTCTCATGTGTCAATGCCGATTCGGACGATCATCACCTGAAACGGCGACTCGTTTCATCTGAAACGAACGCTTCCTCGTGGGAAGCACTGAGAGTTCGACCCAGAGACGTCGCTGGATGAAATGAATCAATTCTGAATCCCCGAAAGCGTCGAGAATTCCACGCATCATTACGAAATAACCGGCGCTGACCGGGCCTGACATCCTTCTAACGTTAACCAGCCCGAGTGGCACGATAACGCCTGTCGGTGAACGACCAGAGTCTCCCCTCACGGCCGGTACTCGGAGCGCGGCCTAACGGACGGGCAGCTCATTCGCGGAAACTGAGAGCATTCGCATCCGTGGAGAAATCGCAGGTTTGTCTCCGCCCATCGCGGTCGCCCGCTCAGGGGGGGGGGAATAATTCAGGAAGAATTAGAGAGCCTGAGAGCGGAAGTCTCTTAGCCTAAAGAGCCCGACCCGTGCAGAAGTCTCTTAGCCTAAAGAGCCCGACCCGTGCAGAAGTTCTGCAGCTCATGCATCGAGCCGGGTTCCTGATTCGAGGAATTGGCGTAGCTGGATATCGGAAACCAGAGCTCAGTGGGCTTACAAGTCCGGAGCCGAAGGCTTACGATCAATACTATTTTCCCAGGGACACATCCTTGGTACGGGGAGAATCGCGGGAGCGTCGTATATGCCAAGGCCGAGGTATTTGACCAAGCTTGATCCGACCAGTAGGTTTTTCGGAGCTTAGACTCAGCTGAGACCGAAGACCTCGCGGAAGATGGGAAAACGATTTCGCTACTTGCAGAAAGATGTGTCAAGCCAAGGTTCTTGCTCCGATGTCTGATACAAGACGCCAGCGTCGGAGCGGCTCCGTCGGGAACTTTCGCGAAATAACGCACCAACCCGTCATCATCGGAACCTATAAATTGAAATTTCAGCTCTGAACTCTCCCTCCGCAGGTCACCGCGCAGAAACTCCCTCAGAACTTGCTCTTAGGGGGGGCATGTTGAGGGATCTTGATCTCCTCGGATTCCGACTTTAATCTGATTCTTCCTATATTTCGCATTGATGCCTCCGTGTCAGTCCCTCAAGATTCTAAATAATTCCAATCAACCCCAGCATTCATGAGAATCAGCAAGAGATGACTGAGCGACCAGGAAGCGCGCCGCCCCCTCCAATCCGTTTTCCTAGGAAGTTTCCGTACATTTCTATTCAGCAGGAAACGTTGAGAGAATGAAGCTTGGAGCCTGGGCAGGTCACGAGCTTGTTGCGGTCGTTTCAGCGGTCAATCATTGCCTGCACCATGTTGTGAAAGCGACATGTACACGAAGACGAAACAAGGGAAAACACTTTCCCTATACGATGTCATCGGGACCAGTCGTCGCGAAGTTCGAAACACTGTGATCGGGAATGCGGAAAATAAACGCACCGGATTAAGGCTTGCGGTCTGGGAACTTGGGGAATCTGATGCGATTCTGAAAGTGATGCCGGGAGCTGTATGAAACCAGACTACATTTCTCGATTCATACCTTCTCTGGGAAAACGCTCGCTCATCATGAATACACACGGCTCTATTGGGGGTCCAGGGCCGGACCTCTGTGTAACGATTTCTGTGACAGATGTAAAGTCGCTTGAATTTCGAAACTGTCTTGCCTCCGATGGCGACTGGTCGAGATATTTTGAAAATATCGATGGAAAGAAAGAAAGTTTCCAGAATGAAACTCTTTGGATTTGGGGTCAGCGTTCGTTGAAACGCGCCATTCCGACGGAAACTCCGTCTGACCGTATCATCTTGAAAATAGTTTAGCGTCGACAGCAGTGGAAGCGTCGCAACACCCTTTCACCCGATTTAGACTCTGTCTGGAAACGATAGAGGCCCTGCTTTCACGTGGTGTTTTGACAGTGGCATTTTTCTCCGGCGCGCTTTCGTCGATATCGTTTGAGAGCTCTTTATGCTTCCGACTTCCATTTTGTTCCGAATCGGCGGATAAGAGAAGATCCTTCAGCCGAAGGGTCACTCAGCTAAGACAAAAAGACTCCACCAAACCAAAGAGGGCTGGGTCTTCCTCGGCCCACCAAGATCGAAAGTATTTCTCCATTGTCCCACTGTGATCCGTCAATCTATGCGGCGATCGATGACATGAAACGTATGGACAAGCGGACCGAATGAACACGGTGCCAGACAACGAGGAGTATTATTCCCGATCGGATCAATTCTTGGCTATCCCCTCGGAACGCTTATCGGAAGGTCTGCGGGATGGGCGAATTTGCGAATTTGCGCGGCAGGGATAGAAGGGCTCCGATTTTCGACGAAAGCTCGCCAGCTCAGGCTCTCTGAGATCGAGATCCTCGCAGGTTACGCTTACAATTTCACAGCCCCCTCTTAGGCTGAAGCATTCTTACGACGTCCTCATAATTCGCCATCGCTCATGTGTGAGGAGCCACTACCATCCGAAAGGCGCTGCTCCCGACGACGGATGCTGAAGAGCAATGGAATTTCTCCGTGAAGCTCCGAGTCAGTCGTTCCCGAGCCGAGGCTGTTTAGGAGCACCGTCATTGGATCGACCTGGGGGATGATGTTTCTAGATTATCCTAGGATCCGAGGTCATTCACCAATCGACCACTGGCCATCGACATTTGAGTCGATCGACCCTTTGCATCCTTGTCGTTTCGGGGCATCGAAGCAAATGGCGAACTCCGTGGGAGCTGCGTGCCTGGTTCGGCCCATAGTCGTC